ATACTATATACTATATAGCATACTATATACTATATAGCATACTATATACTATATACTATATAGCATACTATATACTATATAGCTTACTATATACTATATACTATATAGCATACTATATACTATATACTATACTATATGCTATATACTATATTATATACTACATACTATACTATATACTATATACTATACTATACATATTTGTAATGGGTTTTTTTTTCTTATGCTCTCAATGGGGCTATATGGAGTGGGATGGGAGAGTGAAAAGCAAGATTTTGTCTGATTAAAACAAAATATATTAAAAAAAAAAAAAGAAAGAAAAAATTTAAGAACTCTGATCATCACAGTGACCAACCAAAATTCCTAAGGATTCATGATGAAACATGATGCTTAATTTCTGACAGAGAGGTGAGGGACTCAGAGTATAGATTTAGACATATTTTATTAGATAGGGACAATGTGAAATTTGTTTTGTTTAACTATGCATGTTTGTAACAGGGGTTTTATTTTTCTTGACTTCTCTTTGAAGAGCAAGGGAGGGAAGAAAGAAAACAAGAAGGCTGGTCTTTGAAAATAAAATTTAATTAAAAAAAAGAAAAAGAAAACTATCTGCTAGGTAGTAGATGGATTGTAGGATCTCTTACTTGGATTATTGCATCCATCCCTAATTGGTATCCCAGTTTCCAGTTTGTCATCTCTCTGATCTATTTTCCACATAAAATGTGATTTTTGCATTCCCAACCCAAATACAAATTACTTTTGTATTATCCACTGTTTTATATTGCTTACCCTTCTCTGGATGAATAAGCACGAGCTGATTCTGTGGACTGTGTGGTAGTATTAGTATTTTAGGCCAAAGTAGGAGATATGACTTTAGTGAGTCTTATTTAAAAACAAAAACAAAAAAACAAAACACAAATCTACTCCTGTATCCAGCCAAATGAATGTTGTCCTTGAAAAAATCAAAGAGAGCATTTACATGGTACTTAAAGGTTTAAAAAACAGTTTTGATAGCAACATTTATATACCACCTTAATGTTTGCAAAATGCTTATATTTTATTTTTATGTCTCATTGAATTCTATGAGATGTGATATTATTATCCCCATATTATAGAGGAGTAAGCTGAGGCCATGAAAAGTTAAGTGACTTGCTCAGGGCCACTCACCTACTAAATGTCTAAGGCAAAATTTGAATTCAGATCTTCCTAACTCCAGAGTCTAGCACTCTCTTCATCATGGCACTGTCTTATTTGATCCTCACACTGCCCTGTGAGGTAGGCAGTATGTAAATTGCCTTAGGAGTCAGCTATAGTGGCAGAAGAGCTGGACCTAGAATCAAGAGGCTTAAGATACTAATTGTGCAATTAACCTCTCTGGGCCTCATATGTGCAATAGTGGTAATCATTGAGAAAAGTTCCTTCTAAACTGGGGTGTTGTAGAAATGTAAGCATGGGTTTATTGTGAAGTCGCTGTTTAAAATGTGAGGTTCTGTTGGTTTTTTTTGTTTTTTTTTTTTCCTTCCCCTGAACTACACTTTTGGGATTGTCATCAGAGCCGGGTTGAGAGCTTGACAAGAGAGGTCAGTCTCATAACCTTGCAGTTGCACCTTGGAGTCAAGCTTAGGACACCAGGTCAGTTCGGTTCTCCCAACTATGACTCCCTGTCCTCCTATCCCAGGCACCTTCTATCGAAAGCTGCTGGCCCTGTGGAAGTTGCTACGCTGGTTGCTAGAGTCCGTGGTGGACCATCTCCTTTCTCTGCCCTTAAAGAAGACCTTCTTGATTGCTTTGATCCTCTGCCTCTTGGTAGTGAGATTTGATCCAGGTGAGTGATGAAGTACGATTGCTCTCCTTTTTCCTCACCTGAAGACAAGTGCCCATGCACTTGTCTGGGCTCCATAGGAAAAAATGAATGTTGACTAGACTGATACAAATTTACAGTAGTTTCACCATTTCCCTTTCAACTTAATTTTTATTGCTCTCTATATATTGTTATTCTTTCATATTTAATTTTTAAATAATTTTACTTTAAGACTTACTTTCAAACATTCTTAACTTATTTTTCCTGTTTCTTCTAGTTCCATTACCTGTCTCGTTTCTCTGTTTTTAGTAGTTCCTATCTCCATTTTACCCCTTCAGTGTATTTCCTCATTGCTTTAAGAGAGATTCACTAGTCCTTAGGAAAAGTAACGAATGAATATTCCCCCCAAATCTTTGCCGTCTTACTTTATTTTATGCCTCTGATGAAAGTTTTGAAACTCTCTCTTGCCCTTAGATTCTCTCTATTCTCCAAGGTCCTGGTTCCCAAATAGGGAAGGTATAGAAGGATCTGTACAGATTCTCCCTGAGGTTTAAGGCTTTGACACCTACTCCAAAGTTTCCCAGGCCTGAGGCCAAGTGATAATTTTGACTGCCAATGGTTATTTTGTAGGCAGAAGGGGAAACTCTAATTGGGTAGATCATAGTGGAGAAGAGGAATAGGTGGGTGAAATTTTAGAAGGTGGTCTGAGGTGAAGATAAGGATGAAGAAAATGAGAAAGGGAAGAGCCATTCACAAAAATCTCTTTGTGTCCCACAGCTTGTCCCTCTTCACTGCCCTTCTTCTACAAGTTGGCTCACATCTTCTGTCGCATTCGAGGGACCATCTTTTCTCCATGCCACCTGTCGTCTTATAATTTGTGATGGAGTGAACTCTGCAACACAACTCAGCTGTTCCACTCTTGGCAGTGACACTGGCAGAACGTCTTATTGACTTCTACATTCTTTCAGCTTGATGTCTGGGGCCTCTGTTATTTTAGGGCTAATGATAATCTGGGAAAGCTAGGTCTGGTCACATGGACTGCAGCCTGCCCAACAAAATACCTAACTGAGGGAGGGGCAGATATGGACTGTGATACTGCCCCCAACTTCTCTCCTCTTTATAGATTCCATCTTCTTTAGTCTCAGTGCCATGATTCTAGGTGACAAGGAAGTGGTTGGTGCCAATAAAGGCCTTCTCCTTTAGAATAACACTACCGAGAGGCCCTCTCAAATGGGATTATTTTGGAATGATGACCAGGAGCTATGGAATATTCTTGTCTCTGTCCAGAGGCAGGATCATTGAGGGGTAGGCTTGGTGACTAGAGACGGACTCATTTGGGAAGGGAAGGAAAGGGGGTGATTTTATAGGTCAGAGCATTTGAACCTAATTGAAAAAGACTGGCTCTTTATCACAGAAGTATTGCAGAGTCTCTCTGAAATTCATTCTATTAATTAGCTTGAATGACACCTGATGATGGAAAACCCTTTTGTTTCTCAAGAGATGATAAAAAATTTAAATCTCTGCATAGATTCCAAAGCTCTCAGAAAATTAGGGGCAGCTAGGTGGCACAGTGAATACACTGCCAGGCCTGGAGTCAGGAACATCTAAGTTCAGATCTGGCCTCAGACTTACTAGCTGTGTAAACTTAAACCTCTATTTGCCTCAGTTTCCTCATCTGGTAAAATGGGGATGATAATAGCTCCTCTTGGGGTTGTTCAGAGGATCAAACTGGATAATATTTGTAAGGTGCTTAACATAGTGCCTGGCACATAGTAAGCACTACATAAATGTTAGCTGTTATTAGCTAACTATTATTCCAAGTCAGATCTCAGTCTGGCTGGACAGATCAAGAATTATAGGCTAGAAACTGAGTTTGTACCACATTGGTAAATTCCAGGCAACTCCACTGAAAAGAGAAAGCAATTACTTATCTGTCTCATCTTTTGTCAGAATGACTCTGTGCCCTTCAGATTAATTTTCCAGGTTACTGGACAGTTGTCTGAGTCCTGCTCCCTGACACATAGCATCGTTTTCCTGCCCCAGTGTTTATGTCCTTTGATTGAGGGTTGCTCATGTGATTCTCTTTATCCTTACCTGTGGGGGTGGAATTGTTGGTTGTGTTTCTGGGACAGCAGCTGTTTCATCCCTTTGCATGTCCTATCATTCCTGATCACCTCCTCCCACCCCGTGTTTTAAAATTTCCCTTTTATTTGGATAATGCATGGGTTTTTTTCACTCGTGGCCTTGAGAAGTAGGGCAGCAGCAGGGACTGATGGCTAAAAATGGAATTAGGTAATTATGTGGGGTGGAGAAGGAGACCTCAGGCTTGAAAGAACTGTACAATAAAATTTTTTTTTGTGGAAAGTACTATGGATCACCTCTGAGTACACCACATGTTGAATTGATTCGAACAGATATGCTTCTGTATTTTCCTTTATTTGCCTTTTGCTTATTTACCTGTATATGTTTTCAGTGTAAATTTTTGAGATGAAACACCAATCAACCAACATGTTATGAAATCCAAGGAAACTCGTGTTCCTTCCATGCAGCAGACCAGGCCCCTGGCACAGACCATCCCTAGTATTTCAGAACTTCAGAAGAACAGTTTCATCATCATGGATGTGCCAACAGTTATGTAAATCACATCTCCTCCTTGCCTTTGGAGGCAGCCTTCATCAATTGTTGTGGCCAGAGAAATCCATCACTATGTGGCCATTCTCTCCAATTTGGTTAAGCTGATTGTTGGAATGACGAGCCACAATTTGTCACTGAGCCCCTCAAGGACTTCAGTGAGACTGGCCAGAGTATGTGTTCCAGTGGCATCACCTTCTAGAATCCAGCGTCATTTAATTAATGCCGTGAGAAATGGGAGTGGGACTTTGGAGGAGATGGTATGTAGGAGGTGTCAGTAAATGTTTGATTTTCAGAAACTACAGAGCAGTAGTTACTTCTCATCCCCTTCCCAGAGAAAAGCATAGTGTACAAAGACTGCCAGGAGAATTCAGAATAATTTTGGCCTGCCAATAACTTTTGCCACAATTGAGAAGGCAGAACAATAGATCTGTAGACTGGGAATTGTCATTTCAGTTAACACCCATGAGGGCACCAGGCTTTGTCCCTCTTTGAGGCTGCTTGTGGATGGATTATAAAAGCAGGGCTAGCCCAGGCATCTGAACGTCACAGGTTGCATAACCTTGGATTTAGTGCTGGACATGGAGTTAAAAAAACTTGAATTTGAATCCTACCTCTGACACTAGCTGTGTGACCAAAGACAAACCATTTGGTCTCCACAGTCCTCTGTTTTCTCACCTGTAAAATAAGGATGATACCTGTAGTACTTACCTCACAGGGTCACTGGGAGACTCACAAGAGCTAAACTGCAAGCATGTCTCTGTTAGTAATTATAACTAGCCCTCATGCTTTGGAACTAACTATTGATAAGACCAATGGAGAGCCAGCTTGAGAGCTGTGTGTGTCAGCAAGAGAGCTTGGGCTTTCTCATTGCGTTTCCTGTTATGTGTGTGTCCCTGGAGAAACATACTGCAGTAAGCTATACTGCAAGCTTCTGGAGGTCTTATGGTACCGCATACACCAAAGGGTTGGTCATCAGCGATTTATGTCAGAGGTGGAACCTTTGCAGTCAGAGGTGATGGGCTCCTGACATCATCACTCTGGAAACTACTGTTCTAGAAATGCAAGTGGGCATTAATTGGCAGAGAGCACTGGGGCAAAAGAATATCTGTTCAACTTTGGAATCTGGGTTCAAGTTTCTCATGAGTCCTACAGTGATCAGAGTTGGAGGGATACACTTTGAGTGAGTCTCTGGCAGTGGGATCTTGGGACCTTTTGAATTCATCGTGAAAGTCCCGAACCTGAGAGCTTGTGTGTGTATAAGAATATATATGTATGTGTATGCACATATATGTATGTGTATATATAATTTTTAAGAACATTTCTACCTCCCTAAGTAGTGCTCAGGATATTTTTCTGCATTCTTTCCTTGGGAAAGGTTAGAGGGTAATAACTGCATGTAGTCTGAATTTAGGTTGGGACTACAGGACTCATGACAAAACATGCTATCTACCTCCAGGCAGGGAACTGATGCAAACAGAAGCATTTTTTTCCCCTTTTTTTTAAAAACATGGTTAATATGGAAATTTGTTTTGCATGACTACACACTTGTAATAGGTTTTGTCATTCTTGCCTTCTCATTGGATGGGGGATGGGGTAGGGAGTGGGAGAGAATTTGGAATAAAAAAAGAAAAGAATAAAGTCTCTGTGCGTAAAAAAAAGAAAAATAATCTTTTTTATAGGTGATGGCTCTCTGGGAGGGGAAGAGGAATGATTATTACAGAGGGAATTAATATATAGACGGAAATTTGATATAAAAGCAAAAAATCAATAAAATATATTTTTTAAAATAAAATAATTTAGGGATTATGAAGTGATACTTTGGATCAGGTGGAGGGATGACTTTCTTTTGCAACTTTTGGTTCTGAAGATTCCAGCTAAAACTCCTACCTCCAAAGAAGGTTTGAAGCAAGTGTGAACCTGATCTGAGTCCAACCTTAGTATTCATAGGTTCTCAAAGTGGGCAGTACCACCCCCTGGGGGGAGCTGGACTGATCCAGAGGGACAGTAGTAGCCTCAGGTGCAACTGGGGGGCGTTGAATAAAAGTAAGGGGGCGGTGGAAGCAAAAGGAAAGAAGAGAAGATAAAAGTTTGAAAAACTTCATACATGTTTCATCTTTTGTGTAATATAAAGTCAAAGTGATTTCATTATTTTCCAAATAAACACACAAATACAAGTTATAGCCAATCAGTGGTCAAATCTATTGACAGGTCTTAAGCAAGTGGTAGCAGGCAAGTGTGTTGTGTATTGTGGGGGAATCCAGCTTGCATTGGCAGGAATATGCACGTGTAATGACTTGTTCACAAATGATATTGTACGATTGCATGATGCAGTATTGCATCATCAAAATTTCAGTGCAGGAAAAAACCCTATAAAATTACAATAAATTATTAAATTTAAGATGTGTCATTTAAAAAAGTTTAAATGACACCAATTAAAAAAAACCACTAAAAGATTAAAGAAAGTAGATTTCCAAGGGGGTGCTGAGTAATTTTTTTTTAAAGGGGGTGGTAGGCCAAATAAGTTTGGGAAACTGGTATAGATCAAGGATTCTTAATGTTTTTTGTGTATCATAGACCCCTTTGGCAGTCTGGTGAAGTCTAGACCTCTTCTCAGTAATAATGTTTTTAAGAACTTAAAACACATAGGATTACAGTTGTATTGAAATATAGTTACCAAAATATTTTTTGAAAGTTCATGGAATACAGGTTAAAAACTTCTACTATAGTTGGGCACTATTGTATGGTGATGTTTCATAGAATTTTTAGAGCTAGAAATGACCTTAAAGATGATCTAGTCTGATACTTTGCAGACGAGGACACTAAAATGCAGTAGAATAATGTCTTGCTTATTCAAGGTCATGTAACTAGTTAGTGGCAGAGTGGAGACTAAGCCTCAGATCTCATGATTTCTAGTGATAATTCCTGTCTAATATGCCACATTTGGCACCTCTTCCATTTCTCCTGGAAAAATAAAAGTCCTCTCACAGTCCTGAAATTCCCAGTAAGTGTCATTCCATTAAAGATCTTCGTTAACGCCCAAGTTTTGAAGGGTCAGCTCTAGTCCTTTGAAAATATATCTTGATCCCTTTTCTTTCTTGGAAGCCCAATAACTTTAAAGGTTGACTAGGGATATGTTTCTGCTTGCCAGTTATTCCTCGTAAATATTGGGAGTGCTTGTTAGAGCAACTACAATAAGAACTTGGTGGCAACTACAAGATGATAGTCCAGATATGATGTGACCAGAGAGAGGCTTAGGCCTCTTTAGGTGACTTTGACCTTGAAATATTGCTAAGCCAAGGGAGAAGCTTGGGCCAAGAACTGCTCAGATGAAACAGCAAGGGAATAGCCTAAAATTGATTTTGACCAGAGTAAAATCTATTTTTTCTCTCTTCATTCTTGAGAAAAGGGGTCCTTTCTCCTGGTCTTTATACTCCTAAGAAAAGAATACCCAGAAACAAAGAAGTGTGGGATGTGGGAGGAGTAATAAAAACATTAATTTTGCTGACTGTTCTCTGGCTTAGAGTACAGGAAGCAGTAGGGGCCATCCTAGTCAAACATAATAGTATGCTAGAATATATTGCCACTTGTTAGTGAGACTGATTTAAATACAACTTTTCTAACTTCCAAAGCTGATTGCTAAGGTATTAGCTCAAAGTTTGTTATGTATGCTCAATTATTTTCAGTCATGTCTGACTCTTTGTGACCCCATTTAGGGTTTTCTTGGCAAAGATACTGGAGTGGTTTGCCATTTCCTTCTCCAGCTCATTTTACAATGAAAAACTGAGGTAATGGGGTTAAGTGACTTGCCCAGGATCACACTTGGGTCTTCTGGACTCCAGGGCCAACACTATCCACTGAACCACCTAGCTATCCTGCCTGAAAGTTTAAACCATTCTAAATCATGTAATCTGCCTCATATTTACATTCAAAGTAGTGTACCAATCCCTTTACTTTGTTCTTTGTGCAAGGTTTAGAGCATTTAGAAA